GGTGGCTTAGGCCACTACCTGAAGAATTGCATCTTCTATGGTTGTGAGAATTCACTCGTGTGTTGCTATGGTTCTCTTGGAATAAGTTAAGTAAAAGGCTTCCATGTGAGGAAGTGTTTACCATGTTAATGGTTTAGGAGTTGTGATGAAATTCTTATACTATCGTATGCTGGCTTGTTAAGGTGCAGTGAGCGGTATGAAACATGAAAGTGAGGATCAAGGTTGCGGTCTGGTGTTGAAAAGGATGTCACGAGCTCAGATGAGCATAAAAAAGCGGTTTGAATGAGTAGAGTAAGCTGGTATTGTCTTTAGCGTCACCTGGGACCGGTGTTTTTTGAGAGAGGCTTTGCATCCTGGTTATGGATTTTGCTCACTTTTCAGCGTTAGTGCGGCCGGTAGCATGGATGTGCAGGCTTGTTATCTGTTACGAAAGATCGTGGGAGCGTGTCCCACAGGAATATTGTATAAGTGTGGCATGTAGTCACTTGACTGATTGGAGGACGAAACCAAGTATAAAGATTGTGGCGATATGGTTAATTTGAGGATTTATGCTTGGAGGGCACTCGGTGTATTAGGTTGTGTACCGTGGAGGATTACTTCGGTTATGATGGTTGTTCATGTATGTTATGGGAAAAAGGGGTTACTATGGACCCAGAAAAGATTATTGGCCTAGTTCGGTACGATCAGAATCGGCTTGAGGTCCGTGGATGGATTTAAATATGAATAAGGGCTCTATATCAGGCTGAATGTGTTCGTTTCAGCACAGCTCTCCTTATGGAGGAGTATTCGGACGTTGGATGTTAATTCGTAGTTGGCTATTTCACGTAATGCTATATTGTGTCGTGTGAGTTGCGAAACGGCTTGGTAATTTCTTATTTGTTGAGGTTCCACGTAGCGATGGTGTTATGTAAGCAGTATGGCTCTTTAGTTTCAGAACATATATCGTACCTCAGTTGTGCTTGAGCTTGTTAGCTTATGGCGCTATATGTCCCCTCAGGGATGGTATTATGCACTTAGCGTGCCTGTGACCGATATTCGGTATTTTGTTGTAATGAGCAATTTAGCTCGGTGTGAATCTCCTTATGTGAATTTTATGTGTGGATCGGGTGGCACGCCGCCATGGGTATGTTGTTTGGATCGGGTTGCATGCCGCAACAGTGTGGTGTTGAGTACAGTTTTCTGTATTCTAATTTTTGTGTGTTTTGTTTTCCATTTTCTGAGGAAAGTCCATATTAGCAGCGTGAGTTGAGTAGTCCCTTCCATAGTTCGATTTCCTTATGTATCATGTTCGAATTGGTAGCCTATTGGCATGTTGTGGCATCATATGAGAGTTTTGGTCATCTCTGGGGGGCTTGTTGCCTGAGCAGTTTGTACTGGGTGAGACAAGGTTATTGGATCTAGGGTTAGTGCAATCGGATTGTATGAAGTATATTAAAGAGCAAAGATCATCATTTGGTTCAGAATGAGGTAATGTTCTTGTCAGGAGTGTAGCGTCAATGTTTTGTTGACTTGGTAGTTGGTTATGAATTTCTATGCGTCTCATCCATCGTGGCGGTATTGTAAGAGTTGGAACGAGACTTATACATGTCATGAGATGCGTTGTGAGCATCAGATTCGGGGAATGTAGGTTATTATGATCAGAGAATGTTATTATGGTCCTGTGGATGATGTGGTGCATGGTGAGAATTCGGCAAAGGTACGCAGTCATGTTCTGGTACATCGTGTAGTGATTGGTACGGTGTTCATATATTGGAAGCAGGCCTGGCAGAGAATTTCGGATGTTGAAACTGGGCTCTAAGGCTCATTTGTTTGAATAAAAGAGAATATCTTCAGATTTGCTCGAGCTAATGTGCTCAATTGAGTTGTGGTAGCGCGGGTAGGTGCACGAGGTGTTTAACTGTTATTTCGGACAACTCCAGCGCAGTTCTTAGCACGTTCGAGGACGAATGTCTGTTTAAGTGGGAGAGGATGTAACGACCCGACCGGTCATTTTGAGCTCTAGCGCATCGTTCAGTAGTTTCGGGCCATGAGCAGCTTCATTTTAGGTATTATGACTTGTGCGCACGGTCGCAATTGAATTTCGGGAAGTCCGGAGTTGATTTGTAAAGAGAATTCTCATTTCGGAAGCTTTAAGTTGAAATAATTGACTAAGACTGGATTTCAGAGTAAACGACCTCGGAATCAGGATTCGAAGGTTCCAGCAGGTTCGTACGATGATTTCGGACTTGGGCATATGTCCAGATCAGGTTCCGGAAGACCCGGGAGCGTTTCGGCACCTATTGTGGAAGTTAGCATTTTTGAAGGAATTTCATAAGTTTGGGTTGAAGTGCATTTCAGTGTTATCAATGTCCATTTGGGATTCCGAGTCTGGGAATAGCTTCGTATGGTGATTCTGGTGTTGGGAGCGCGATCGGTAGTGGATTCGGAGGTCCGTGGGTCATTTTGGAGTCATTTGGCTAAAGATAGAAATTTGAAGGTTTTTGAGAAGTTTGACCGGGAGTGGACTTTTTGATATCGGGGTCGGATTCTGATTTCGGAAGTTGGAGCAGGTTTGTAATGTCGAATATGACTTGTGTGCAAAATTTGAGGTCAATCGGACGTGATTTGATAGGTTTCCGCATCGAGTATAGAAGTTTGAAGTTCTAAGTTCATTAAGCTTCAATCGGATTGTGATGCATGATTTCGATGTTATTTGAGGTGATTTCAAGGCTCGACTAAGTCGAGTGAGGTATTAGGACTGGTTGGTAGGTTTGGTTGAGGTCTCGGGGCCTCGGGCGTGTTTCGGATACTCAACGGGTCGATTCTTGCCTTGTGAGGATTGCTGGTTTTCTGGTATGAGTGCAGTAGGTTTTTATATGTAATCACGTGAGTGGGTCTGCGATCACATAGTGCAAGATTTGGAGGCAGCTGGTATTGGCTTATGCGATCGCAGGGCTGTATGTGCGATTGCGTAGAGGAAGAAATTGGAGGCTGCCGGTTTTGGCTTATGCGATCGCAGGGGATGTTTTTGCGATCGCATTGTGCAAGATTTGGAGGCCCTGGGATTGGCTTATGCGATCGCGGAGCTTTGTTTGCGATCGCATAGAAGGGTCGCCTGGGCAACGAAGTGTTTTAAAACGGGTTTTGGCTCATTTTTATCTCAAATCTTTCATTGGAGCTGATTTCGGAGCAACTTTGGAGTGTCATTTTCATCACCAAGCATTAGGTAAGTGATTTCTACTAGTTTTGAGTAAATACAAGGTTTATATATGGATTTAGACAAGGAAACTTGTAGAAATTTGGTGATTTTGAGGAAGACCTAGAAATTTGATATTCTTGAATTTTGATCACGATTTTGGGCATGAAATTGAGAGCAAATTATATATTTGGGTTCGTGAGATTATGGGTAAACTTTATCTTCGAAAATTTTTGGAATTCGGGCACGTGGGCCCGAGGGCAATTTTGTCAACTTGTCGATCGGGGTTGGAAATTGTTATAAATTGGATTGTAATGAGTAATTGAACATATATTAATTGATTTGTATAATTATTGACTAGTTTTGGAGCGTTGTGCATCAATTTGAGTCTTCGGAAGGGCGTGGAATGCCGATTATGGAACTTCGGAGCGAGGTGAGTCTCCTTTCTAACCTTGTAAGGGAATTGTCCCCATAGGTGAATTAATTAAACATATGTGCTGCTATTTGTGGGGGCTATGTACGCACGAGGTGACGAGAGTCCGTGCATAACTACTATTATGCCTATGTCCGGGTAGTCTAGGACCCAAAAGCATGCTTACTTGTAATAATTGTAACTATATTGATGGTTTGATTTGCTTATATCATATCGAAGTGGCAAATGATTTTCTAAAAGAGTTAAACTTCATTTTCTTGACTTGTAAAAGAGAAATGTACACCTCCTTGAACAATTGCTTCTTAGATGAAGTCTTGATCGACTGGTTGAATATGTGTTTCTGTGTGTACCTGCGTCGCATGTATGATTCGCGAGCAGGGTGATTGTTTATTTGTGTTTGACCGCGTCGCATGTATGATTCGTGAGCGGGGTGATAGATGCATCTATGGTTCGCGCCATTCGACCCTCTGGCAGTGCATATTTTAAATATTGTTGGATCAAGCCGTACGACCTCGGCATGAGTTGCGCATGCTTGTATTGCTTGCATTGAAATTCATTGAAGTTGATATTGTCACTCACTGACTTGAGAATAAATGTATAATTGATGAAAACAAAATTTGGAAATTTCCCTTTGAATAAAGGAATTGATTACTTGTTTCATTCTGTTGAGTTACGACCATGCTTTATAAAAATCTTGGATTTTATTATATTAATTGTGTATCATTATTGGACCACTAGTAAGTGTCGAAGTTGACCTCTCGTCTCTACTTCTTCGAGATTAGGCGGGATACTTACTGAGTACACGTTGTTTTTGTACTCATGCTACACTTGCTGTGCATTGTTGTTGCACAGGCACACGTGATTCTAGTGGCCTACAGGGTGTAGCAGCATGGATGATGCGGAGACTAGGTGAGCTGCATTTCTCGAGACGACTCGCAGCTAGTATAGTCTTTTTCAGCGTATTGTATTTTACTTCATGTCCAATTTGTATTCTGGACAGTTATTGTATTATACCTTGTTTTACCTAGAAATTGCTCATGCACTTGTGACATCGCGTTCTGGGATGATTATGGGCTTATTCAATATTCAGGAATTGTTAAAGACACCATTATTATTTCAGCAAATTTCATTATTTACTGTTTAATGTATAAAAGATAAGTGATTTCAATATATACTAAAAAGGGAATTTAATTAACTTCTTGGTATTGGCTTGCCTGACAGTGGTGTCCAGCGCCATCACGACCCTTAGTGGATTTTGGGTCGTGACAGTTTGTAACCACCCTGAACAAGTGCATCAGCGAGCTTTATGTTCCATTGCCTAGATGCTTGTTTAAGACCATAGAGGTATTTCATAAGCATGCACACTTTCAACTCCCCCTGTTTGTGAAATCCCTAAGGCAACTGCATATAAACTTCTTCATAGAGATCTCCCTGTAGAAAAACATTGCTAACATCCATTTGAGATAAAGGCCAACCCTTGGTAGCTACTATGCTGATAATGGTCCTGACTGTGACCATCTTTGCTACAGGTGAGAATGTGTCATGGTAGTGCAACCCTTCTTTTTGATAATAACATTTAGCAACCAGCCTTGACTTGTACCTGTCTACCTCTCCATTGGCCTTCTCCTCGATCTTGTATACCCATTTGGAACCAATAGCTTGCTTCCCTGCTGGTAAGTCCACTATCTCCCAAGTATGACTATTTTCAAAAGCTTGGATCTCCTGTTGCATAGCTGTTACCCATCTGCTATTAGTGGAAGCCTGCTGAAAATTAGTAGGTTCAACTTCAGCTGAGAAAGCCTGCAAGTATGCTTGATAACCTGCTGTGAGATTAGCATAAGTAAGGGTGTCAGTCAATGGATATAAGCATTGGCCAGAGAACTTCTTAGTATTTTGGTAGTCTTTTAACCAAACTGGAGGTTTGGATGTCCTAGTAGTCTTCCTAGGCTCTTGATCATTTCTAGGCTCAAATATGCTATTGTCAGGACTAACATTGAGCTCTAGCTCAGTGTTTGGAACTAAGTCAGTTGAGGTATATTGCTCATCATGCTCAACCTCTGCTGCTTCTATGTTTTGGGCTGTATGATCAATCTGTAGGACTCTTGTAGAAGGTATATTGGTGTTTTCTATGACTGGAATATTGTCTGTAGGTGGAATGTGAGGGTCTGTGGATGTAGGCAATGCGGGATCAGGATGTGATGGTATAGAAGCTTGTGTAGGAAAGGGATCTTGTGGAATGGCCACACTTTCTTTAAAATGGAAGATATGTTCTCTAAAACATCGTTACTTACAAAGACAGTCTTAGTTTCTAAGTCAAACAATCTGTACCCCTTTTGAACTTCTGAGTAACCTATGAGGACTGATTTTCTTGCTCTCTTTGCAAACTTGTCTCCTTTTGGTAAGTTTCTAGAGAAACATAAACAATCAAACACCTTTAAGTGATCAATAATAGGTGGTTTATTATGCAAAACCTCATATGGAGATTTTCCTTGTAGTATGGATGTAGGCCACTTGTTGATCAGAAAACAGATGTCTTGATGCAATCTCCCCAAAATCTACTAAGGACAGAACTCTAAAATTGTAATGCTCTAGCCACTTCAAGTGTATGTCTATGTTTCCTTTCCACCACCCCATTCTGTTGGGGTGTGTATGGGCAACTGCTTTGATGCACAATGCCTAAGGATGCTAACGGTGCATTACATCTAGAATTAAAAAACTCTCTTCCATTATCAGATCTCAATACTTTCACATTCATGTCAAATTGAGTCTTTACCATTATAAGAAAGTCATTCAACATTGTTACAACTTCACACTTAGACTGCAACAAACACACCCAGGTATATCTACTAAATTCATCCACAATTGTAAGAAAATAATGTTTTCTATCATATGTAGGCAGCTTGTGAGGACCCCAGACATCAAGATGAATAAGCTGAAAAATACATTCAGTCTTGCTGCTACTAAGAGGGAATTTCAATCTACTTTGCTTAGCTAAAGGACATATTTCATAGTTATGTTGCAAACTATCCACTATTTTATTCTTTAAGGCAGAAATGTGCTTCATTGCCATTATTGATGGATGTCCTAATCTCATATGCCAAAGACTGCACTCATCAGTGTCCTTGGTAGCCAATGTTGCTACAGGCTTGTCACTCCATTTGAGTATATAAAGTCCATCGTTCTCTCTATCAATCCCCATCACCTTCCCATTGTAAAGACCCTGCAATACACAAAAGTCAGGGAAGAATAGAGCACAACACAGCAATTTCTTGGTCAGTTTGGAGACTGACAATAGATTGAACTTAAAATCTGGAACATATAACACATCCTTTAGTTCATATCCCTGTAGTATAGAAGCACTTCCTTTGTGTGTTACTGAACATTTGCTACCTGTTGGAACCTACACTTTGTGATTCCTGTGTTGCTCAATATTCTCTAATTTATATAAAACATCTTTATGACATGTGATATGGTGAGATGCTCCTGTATCTACTACCCATTCACACAAAGATGTATCAGACAACAATGTGGTTATACTTGCCATTAGTGTATGTATGACAATCACCTGCAGGTGTTTTGTTCAGAAGCTCCAGTATTAGTTTGTATTGACTTTCAGTGAACAGTTGTCCCATCTGTTGGCCTTGAGATAAGCTTGTAGTTTCTTCTGTTATCATGTTAGCATAAGTTCTGTTTTCTTGTCCTTGTTGTTTCTTCTTGCTCTTGAAGTCAGGAGGATATCCTATAATTTTGTAGCAATTTTCCTTGAGGTGTCCTTTATATCCACGGTGTTCACAAACAATCCCAATCTTCTTAGCCTTACATCCTTGATTATGTCCTGTCATCATAGTTAAAGGTTCCCTATTTACCTCAAGAACACTCAGTTCATGTTGGATTTCTTCTTGAATGACCAAAGCATAAGCCTGATTTACAGTCAATACTGGCGTCTTAAGCAATATCTGACTTCTCACCTGACTATAGCTTTCATTAAGCCCAACTAGGAACTGTAACAAACGCAAATTCTTAAATTGCTCAATGAAAGGCCTAGTTTCTTCACAATCACAACCAGGCGCTGGAACTAGTAGGTCAATTTCATCCCAGAGATCTTTCATTTTCGTATAATACGATGTTACCGAATCAGTACCATGCTTTAATGATCCAACTTGTATCCATAAAAGGTAAAAACGAGTGAGATTAGATTTATCAAACCTCTTCTTGAACTCGTTCCATACCGTTTTTCCATTCGAAGCGTAAATGATACTCGGCTGTAATTCTGCAGATGCTGTACGTCCTATCCATTAAAGAACAGCCGAATTACATCTTTCCCATTGATTCGCCAATTCTCCTTTGTAAGAGCTTTTCAAGCAAGTTCCTTCTATGAAACCTAGCTTGTTTTTCACCAAAAAGTGTCATCCGCATCGATCTACTCCACAAACCATAATTTTCAGGTCTTGTGAGCTTGATATCGTGCAATGCAACTCTATGCGTATCTGTAGCTGCTAAAATAGAGGATGATTGTGATCAATCGGAAGACTTACCGTTTCCGCCATGGCTGATGAAATCAAAGCTTCTAATCAGTGTTCGATGTTCAGATCCTGCAGAATTTCATCTCGATTACAGCAACCCGCTCTGATACCATGATAGAATTTGAATTGCATGTAAAGTTTGAACCCTAAATTCTAGAGAGTTCAGAGAAGAAGAAGGAAGAAGAAGAACTTGATTTCATTTCGTTAAGCACCGTTACAAGACTAAACAGTATTTAACAAACTAACTGACTATCACATGCCTCTCATGTGTGTGTATATATATTGACTAAAATGCCCTCTCTCATAACTAACTTAATTTTCAGTACAACGACTGCACATGGTTGCTTACTTCCAAATGCCCGCTCGATTTGTTGCCTAACTTTCTACTACTAATTAATAATAAAAAGTTACATTTCATTTGTATAACTATACTCTCAACACACACAAAAAAAATGTTTTAATTATTTGTAAGGTAATTAGTAGTTATTTATTTAATTTTACTTCAATTTTACCTTTTAAAATTTTAATACTTCTTGGACTTTTTATTGGATAAAACATAAATAAGTTTCATTGGGAATATATAATTAGCTATACATTACATAGAAATATTTGTCGAGATAACTCAAGTGCATGAATTAGTATATGATCAATTAATCCAGATTTGGCTTGGTTCCAATCTTAGACTAGAATGTCTATTTGACTATTTATCTACTTCCGCGTTGCTGATCGGTTTATGCTCTATCACATCTCAATTGCAAAAGACATCATATGTAGCTTGTGCAAGTATGTTTACTAGAAAGTTTTAAGTTCTTGCAAGCATCAAGGACCGGACCCCATGTGAAAAATGGAACTTTGCTTCACATGAGCTTTTTCTCTTCACTGTGTGGTCAAATAATGACTTTGGGAAGATCTACTGTATTGTCTTAGAAGAACTTTTAAATGAATTTATGCCGGACATATCATACTTGCACTATGAGATACGATTGTTATATTTTAAAGATGTTTAGAATTCTTAAAGCGTAGTATGTTATAACTTTTCGTGGATAAGTCGAGAATGACATGTTTTTTATTCATCAAAATTTCAGACTCAAAACTCATGTAATTTTTCTTTTTATTAATCCTAAGACTGCGATAGATCCTTGAGAATCATAGAAATTCTCTTGTACGGTCTTAACAGAAGGAGCTTGTCCTATAATTCTTTCTATATGACTTTCAATTTTTTTTCAATAGTTTCGAAACTTCCCTTTTGGTAAGTAAAGGGTTTACTCGATGTTGTTCCATTCCCTATTACATCTCCATGTGATGACCGCTCTTTGTGTCTGTTGTTCAATGTTTTTACATTTAAAGAGCTGGATAATTATGACACAACTTTACCATGGCCACTTTTAAATTACATTTTCAATTAGTTGCTAGATTGAATTTATGGCCACTTTTCAGTTGAGGTATGTAGATCTCCTTATAAATCTTTATGTAGGTTTGTAATACTCTTGAAAGTAGAACAAAGGAGTATATATGTCAATCATCCATAGGAAGTACATTTACGAGTAGAGAATGACACATCTGTTTGCAGGGACAAAAAATACACATTTTTAAGGTATGTTCAAGTTTACACAAATTTTATTTAATTTTCTTTGAATAATGAACCGGTAACTCATCTTTCTTTTTTTTATTTTGTAAGAAGTTTGATCAGGCAATTTATGTATGTGATTATATTCTTGAAGGTGAACTTGATGGTTCCTGCTCGACCAAAAAGGCACATAAGCGCGGTGCAGTACAAGTTACATTTTTTATAACATACGTGCTACAATAGCTATACTTTGCATTAGTGCTGAAACTTTATAAAGTATGTTGTTCTCTTTAGAAATTCAAATATGCAGTTTCCGGATGTTTGATGCAGACGTAGATCATGTTAAAGTTGATTTTACACTATTATCACTCATTGGCCATTACCAAACTTCTTCAGAAAATGTCCTTGAGAGGCCTTTGTACGTTCTTTCTTTACTTGCAATATAGCTCATAATCTGATTTATATCCATGTGGTATGAGATATTTCCAGTACGTATTCTTTATTCAGATTCAATACTTAACCGATTAACTTCATTGTCTTAGGATGTGGACCATAGTGTTTGAACATCAAATAACTAATTAATATGTTTAGACTTAAGTAAATCATGGAGACCACATGTATGTACACGTACACACACGTAAAAAATTAAAAATTTCCTTCAATTTTTTTTTCTTTTAATACATGAAAAAATAATTTCTTCTATATTGACTAAATATATAATTAAAAATATTTTTAAATTTACTAATATACCGGGCGAAGCGTGGACAAATTAACTAGTAGTAAATAAATTCAAGGGCCTTTGAGCTTGATCTTGAATATATATTTGTTACCACGAACGATGATCTTGAATTCAACTAGCACGAACTTTGATTTGAATTCGTACTCCTAGAATCTTGATTTATTCTTCGTTCTTAAGCTTGAACTTGATTTCTTAAACTTGAACTTGATTGTTTGAAGCTTGAAACTTGTAGAGAATTTTGTGGCGTTTGATCCACGAGCTCTCTCTTACTTCTTGCTATAACTTCTAGTGTCTTTCTGCGTCATGAAGACCCCTATTTATAGTCGTGGGAGAGAAGAGTTGTGATGAGAACAAACTCTTCAAGACCAACCAGATTGAAGCGTGACATGGCCGCATTTGATTGGTCGGAACACGCCACTTGCACATGTGGCACAGTCTCATTGGCCTCTTAATTTGACTTGGCATGCCTTGTCATTTTGACACGTGGCACGATCCTATTTGCTCTTCCGTTTGACTTGGCGCGCCACGTCATTTGACACGTGGCACCAAACTGGGCCTCTAGGAAGATGACATCTGGGGCTTAATGAAGTGGGCTCATCATTTTAGCCCAATGAATTAAGACTTATTTATTTAATCCATGGACTTATATAATTAATTCTATTATAATAGCCCATAATATTTATTTGGACTAGAATATCTTGCGTTTAAAATATGGTTCAAATTATTTTATTTATTTAGATCCAATAAATTTTGCATGCTTACAAATACCCCCTACTTCAAGACTTATCGGGTATATAATTTGAAGACTAAGCTTGAAGTATAACTCGGTCTCTTTGTGATTAATGATAATCTGTAATGATCCAACCAGTCATTTTGCTTTCTAGAACCTCGTTCTCCTAAATGATATTCCCCGTATGTGCTTTTACTATTGTATAACTTGCGGAGATGATTAGTTCGGGATTTGGAAAGGTTCGGGATAAAATCGGAACACTTGCTTCCTTAAGATTGGCAGAAAAGACTAAGTTTGACTTTGGTCAACATTTTTAGGAAACGAACTCGAAATCGAGATTTGACAGTTCCAACAGGTTCGTATGATGATTTCGGACTTGGGCGTATGTTCGGATCGGGTTTTGGATAAGACTGTATTCTGGGCTAGCCCCGGGCCTAAACGGGCCAAACGGGCCGGGCCTAACGGTCCCGGGCTTTGGCGGGCTGGTCTTTGGCGGTCCCGGGCCAAACGATTCTAGTGGGTGGAACTGGCCCACTGTGGGCCTAAGCCCACATGGTCCGGGCTAAATGGACCGGGCCCACGGGCCTATGTGTTCCGGGCTATTTTTTTTTTTGAATTTTTTTTATCTACGGCATTTTCTTGTAAAATATATATATATATATATATATATATATATATATATATATATATATATATATATATATATATATATATATATTTATATTTATATATTGCCTTATATAATTTCTTGTAAATTATATTATATTATTGTGACTTAATCTTCTAATTCAAATGTAAACACACAAAAAATTGCAAAAAAATATTCAAGGGAATGCCTTATAATTTTTATTATTACGACATTAACAAAAAATGGCAATATCTTTCTTAGTCTTCCTCCCCTAATGGAATGAGCACAACAAGGTGCTAATACCACCATTAAAAGGAAAAAAAACTAATGAAGATGTGCCAAAATACAAGTTACATATTAGTCTACATATTATCTCTAACAAATTTCATAAATCCTTCAAGGCTCGGAGGAATTTTTGTTGGTGGTGGCGGAAAAGAAACTTGTTCATCACCGCTTCCGGGCGAAGCAGCATCCTCCGCAAGTTCTGCTAGCATTTCTTCATAAGCTTCGTCTATCTCCGGTTGTGATTCAGCAAGTCAAAAATTTCTTCTTTCCGAACGGATCCAATCTCTGAAGAGTACTGATTTTTCCAAGCTCTCCCTCATAGACGCTCTATGATCACCAATTCGAAGTCTCGCTTGACTGAAGGTGCTCTCCGATGCCACTGTTGAAGCTTGAACACATAAAATATCTCGGGCCATCCTTGAAAGAACCAGAAAGTATTTTTCTTTGTCCTTCCACCATTCCAAAACATCAAAGGTGCCGTCGGAATTCTCTTTTTCAAGTCCCTGCGACAAATAAACTTGAAGCTCATTTAGTTGTGAAGTATCACCAATATTATCACCTTGAGAACCCCTGAACTCCGTCCAAGAACTAAGTGCTTTTAGACCCGCAGTTCTTTTAGATGATTGCGAACTAGAAGAAGTAGGAGTTGGAACATTTGGTCTAGCATGATCTAAGGCAAGTTGATAAGCATTATAAATTGTTTGAGCATTTATTTTAATTGAGGCTTTTGCATCTGCAAGTGTAGCAAATTCCTCATCTGAAAAATCTAAAGCCTTATAAATATTTGTATACCAAAGTGAGGACCTCCCAATTTCATGGTAGGATTTAACATGGCAGCAACACCATAAATAGGGGGGATAGGGAAAAAAATATTTTTTAAACTTATCTTTCATAGAATCAATAGCAAGTTGATAAATTACCCTACCCTATGAAAATTGAACAAACAAATTTGCAAGTGCTGCAATATAAACTAAACAGTTAGAAATAGTAGGATAATATTGCCCAGATAATTCATTTGTAGCAACATGAAATTGTTCTAAAAATCTACAAGAATTTTAACATTAGTCCAATCCTGATTTGTAAGGCGTTCATCATCATCATCACCACCAACACGAGCATTAAACGTTGCGTTTATTGGGTTTCTATATTCATATGCAACAACTAAACTTTCGTACATGTAATTCCATCTAGTCGGACAAGCTTTAGGAACCTTTCTCTCTCTAAGGCCAAATTCATCACATTTTTTAAAATATTCTCTAAGTCTACTTCTATGGTTTGAATAAAAAAGCCAATTAAGAGCCATTTTAACCTTTTCAATTTCCACATTTAAAATTTTCATACCATCACCGTCGATTAAATGGTAAATATGACAAATACATCTAACATGGAACATATTACTAAATGCAGGATTTTGTGTAGTTGTAAGCAAGCCTATAGCATTAGTGTTACTAGAAGCATTATCCATAGAAACTGACATTATTTTATCTATAATGCAAAAATATCTACAAATATCTGCAACTGTGTTAGCAATAAACTTACCTGTGTGATGTGAATTAATTTTAGATTTTCTCTTACCACCAAATATTTTATTCAAAGAAAAGGCCATATTAATTATAATTATACAAACTAAAACAAACAAAACTATAATATTAAAACTTAAGAGTTGGAACGAGTTTACCGAATTGACGAACAACTTCTTAAAAATTGTATATCCTTGAAGACTTGAAGACTTGAATACTTCAATTCACCAACATCACAATTTTTCACAAATTGCAATAATAAAGTAAGCAATTATAGAAGAAAATTAGAGAGAGATTTGATGATTTTGTGAGTAAAAATGAATGAATGAGGGGGTATTTATAATTGAGAATACGGAAAAGTGTAATTATAAAAAGTTTGGGGTTAAAACAAAGTTTGGGGGCCAAATGACTATTTTTTAAAAAGTCAAATGGCTAAATTGGCAGGCCAACGGCTAGTTTTTAAACTTCCAACCGTTGGCCAATTTTAAAAAAAAATAATTTTTTTTTGAAAAATAGCCGTTGGGCCCGTTTGAACCGGCCCAGGCCCGCCAGCCGGTCCCGGGCTTGCGGTCTCAACCTGGAGGACCGGCCCACAGTGGGCGTTTAGGACCGTTTGGGACCGGACCATTTGAACCGGACCGTCTGGGCCCGGCCCACAATACAGCCTTAGTTTTGGATGACTCGGGAGCGTTTCGACGTTTAATATTGATAGTTGGTACCTTGAAGGTTTTAAAGTTCTTTAAATTTGATTTGAAGTAGGATTCGGTGTCATAGAGCTTGGGATTCCGAGATCTACAATAGTTCCGTATGGTGATTTAAGACTTGCACGTAAAATTTGGTGTCATTCCGAGTAGTTTAAGTATGTTTCGGCGCGTTTAATGTAAGTTAGGAAGAACTTGAAGTTCATAAGTTGACACAATTTGGTTTGGGGGTGTGATTATTAGTTTTGATATTGTTTTCCGCGTTACGAGAGTGCGAGTGAGTCTGTTTTTTTATTCCAGACTTGTTGGTATATTTCGACGAGGCCTCGGGGGCCCCGTATGTCATTCGGACGATGCGCAGAAGCCTTTTGGTTTTTGTTGATCAGCTGAAGCTCTCAGCTTCTGGTGCAATCGCACCTGCGGAAGGCCAACCGCAGTTGCGAGCTCACAGAAGTGAGCCAAGGACCGCGAAAGCGGCCCAATGTGGGCTGCCCAGTGACCGCAGAAGCGAGGCAGGTACCGCAACTGTGGAGGCGCAGGTGCGAAGAAGGCCATCGCAGGAACGAAATGGGGTCGCAGGTGTGGCGCACTCACCGTAGAATCGGTCTCGCAGAAGCGAGCTGCTGGTCGCAGAAGCGAGGGAGCCAGCTGAGGGGAGGCCCGCAGATGCGTATATGAAATCACTAAAGGCAGTGAGGTCATTTAAAGACGGACTTAGGCCATGCTTTGTTGACACCGTTATTTGATTATGCATATTAATTGTCTTGATTAGACATGAGATTGAGGATTTCGAGATTTAAAGTTTCTAGTATAGACTTCTTATTTCCCGAAAAGAATTGAAGAATTTTACAATAACTTGGAGAAATCTAAGTTCACTCGCGTCGCAAGCTTTTTCGCGAGCGAGGTAAATTCCAATACTTTCATGGGGGCCGTTTGCCTCGGCAGGTTAATAGATGCATCTATGGTTCGTGTCGTTCGACCATCGGCAGTGCATACAGTATATGTATATATGTATTTTGGATCGGGCCGTACGACCTCGGCATAATTCGTGCGTAATAATACTTGGAGCCCAATTATACTTGATATCATTTCATTGGCTTGAGAGGTTAAATGGTTAAATGATGGAAATTGATTTGGGATTTACTATCGGTGAAAGAATTGTTTATTTATTGTTTGTCATTGTGTTTCATTATCATTTATATAGCCCATGTTTATTTAAAATTTCGATATTTTATTGTTAGCCCATAATAAGTGTCAAAGTCAATCCCTCATCACTTCTTCTTCGAGGTTAGACTAGATACTTACTGGGTACATATTATTTATGTATGCACTAACCGTGCAGGATCTGAGGCAGGTGCATCTGGTTATCATCCCGACGCGCACTCCTGATACTTCGAGACTTTGCGGTGAGCTACCTTCCGAGTCCGTTCTGCAGCACCCGACGTCTTTCTTTTGCTTTTACTTTCTGTCTACTTTAATTTAGACTAGCACTACAAGAAAATGGCAAATTGTGACGGACGGTTCTGTCACAATTCCGTCACAAATTTGTGTTAGTGACGGAATTGTAACAAAAATGGGAACGTCCCAGAACCTTTGGTCGTAAATTTTTTTTGACGGATCAAATTTCGGTCACAAAATTTTTGTGACAGATTTATGACAAAAATTGTCCGTCGCAATATAGAGGCCTGCATGTAGCTTGATTCCGTCACAAAATAGAGACGGATTTGTGACAGATATATCTGTGACAATTATTGTGACAGAATAGTTTTCGAGACAAATTTATTTATATATTCACAGCAATTGTGATAGAATATTTTGTCACAAATAAATTGTGACAAAATTTTCTGTCACAAATTGACACATTTGGCAGCTATATTAGTGACAGATTTGGGATACATAATATTTGTGACACATAAGTTCCCATCACTATTTAAGAATTTGGTGAATATTTTTGACCATGTAGATCTGTCACAAATTTAATTTTGGACTTTCAGCTTTAACAAATAATTAATAATACTTATGAAAAAATTAGCTAAAAGCATGAAGACAACAACAACCAACCATAACAAACATAATATGAAATATATAATAAAACATACGAAGTTAAAACATGCCAAAATATAAGTTCTACTAGCAAAAGTCTAAACATATTAAAAATTACAAAGCATCCAATAATCAAAAGCCTGCCAACGTTAAAATAGCACTTAGAGAGTATCCAAGTAGCTAAAGTCTAACAATGTTAAATACTAAAGCATTTGGTTAGTCCCTGTTAAAGGGAGTAGGAACACCAGATGGGTGAGATGATAATGCCATCTCGCTCATCCTGCGCATCCATCGCTCCTCCATAGACCGAAATCGATCATCCTTCTGTTGATTCAAACGCGAGACCTCTTGGTCTACGCGTTGTTGCACCTCTGCCTCCACGCGCTCTTGAAGAATCCTCTCTTGTGTTTCTCTCATACGCAACACCTCCTCCTCAAGCACTTTGATGCGCTCGTCAGCAGCGGGATCTGGTACTACAGGCAAATGGCGTGAAGTGGCAGAATTGCAGCCTTGATACAAAGTCGCAGCTTGAGAGCCCAATCCATACACACGTCTTTTCTTCTCTCCGCCGACAACATCCAAGTTTAGGCGATTTATATCGGCATTTTGAAATTTTTGTGAATCATCGGATGAGCTCAGAATAGCAGTAGCCATCGCAACTTCCATTTTATCCTACATACATTTATCAAAATAAGAAACTAATGAGAAGTAATATACAAAGATTTCCTATAATTAAGTTTTACAGCTCACTCACATAAGCAACTAAAGAAACAAAGTTCATTATATGTAGTTTAAAACTTGAATCACAGATGCAAAGAAGCAAATCTCTAAAACTCATAAAAATAATTGTCATATATCAACTTGTCATAGACTCATAGGATATCATTTTCAAGATTAGAATAAAAAAGCTAGACCAGAATAGAATTCTATCACAAGCTTTCAACAGATATTCTTCTTAAGTAAAAATAAACTTATACTTAGTGACTCATAAGCTGATTCTTTGAAGCATAATAAGAAATAAAAATAAGTCACAATATGTGTTTCATTTCTGCATCAGAACAAGAAATGAAATGCTAATTAAACAAGAAATGAGATGATGTGAAGAAGCTTTCGGATAAGTGGATTGCACCAGTAATATTCCTCATATTCATTCTCAAATAAAATGATGAAATATTATAAAAGAAACTTACACCAACAGTCTTAGACTTGGTATCCACAAAGTTCCCATCCTTTCTTTTATGCAGCTTCTTAAATATATCCCATGAATTTGCTGGACGATGTAATTCTATTGCCTGAATAATAGAGTACAATATTAAAATAGGAGATAAGGTCATATAATTACTCTATTGAAAGGTTAAATTCAATACCAATTTTATAGTATGCTCCACTGTAGACCTAGAACCACCGGTATGCTTGCTCGGACCAGTGCCTGGACCACCAGTCTCGCTACACCGATTTTGAGTGGCGACACGAGATTTTTCAAGCCACTTTTCCGATGACCAGTGTGCCTGCCAGCTTTCCCATATATGCTCTTAAATAAAAGTAGGTCTGGTTGTAAATTTCTGCCACTTGTGCCGCTTTTTAGTGTACAAGGTAGATGCCACTTTTTTCCAAGTATGTTTGATTATGGCATCCTCAGCAGAACTCCAATGATATAATTTCTAACAAAAGATATTTGATCAGTGACATAAATACATATATATACCAAATAATTACTTATAATTTTTTTTTTATAGAAAGCGATATTTACCATAAATTCATGCCAATAGAAGTCACGAGTGGATTGGCAGACAACCTTCCATGTGTAATCAGTAGCATCTTATCGCTCCATGAAGGTATCAGTGATGGTCTTCGAGATAGAATGACCATTAGGAACGAACCCGAACCTGAACCGGTGTTACAAGGACATCTTAGCTTTTCACAATCCATGCATTCTGGATGTCTTTTAGCAAATGCAACAAACTCCTCAACCCCTATAATAAATCTAGGATTTATGAATCCATCTTCCAATACTCTACCATACATCCACTCACGATCAGAATTATTCATATTGTACACTTTAACACAAAGAATAAACATGTGTTAGAACTTACATGATGACAAACACGATTATTTGTTGTAATTAAAGTTGTCTATTATCTAGCTATTTTTTAAAAAGTAAATTTAATCTATTAGAACATATTTGTACTAAAGCAGACATGTCAAGCTTGCATTCTGCTACAGAATCCAACAGAAAATGGCACTAATTCAACAAGATTCAATGATAACTAGAAAAGTCACAAGTTTCCTACCTAACTGTATCAACATCAATTAAAGTCCCAAGGAAAAAACATATGTAATGCCAAATATTGAAATAGAAATTATCATTCACTAGATAAATCAGAAAAATATCTAGAACTGCGTACTTCTTGGAACTGTTAATTTCTTTTTTAATCTTTCTGCTAGGGAGGTGCTTGACTCCTTGCCTATATGTTGAAGAAACTGATCCAAAAAAGAGAATGAAACAGAAAAATATAAATGACCATAGTTTAAGACATTTAGACAAGATAAATAAGATAATTAATATTGTTGAAGAGTTTACTTTATGAGATTCCAATAATAAAATAATATAAATCAATTTAGAGTCAGGAAGCAACATATATAGCAGGTATATAACCAAAAACAACCAAAAAGAAGGTATAATAACACAAGTTATAGCAAATTGAAAATCACCACCACTCCTAAAGAATTTTTGAAACACTCAAATGCACTTAATATGAGGCTTATCCTACGCACCCGGCCCCTTTCGACAACTAAGAGTAATTTTGAGTTCCTAACCATTGCGACAGTAACTCTACCATGAATGTTATATCCTATGAGGAGGTTGATGAATTGTCTATGAACTACAAAGTCTTGTTTTAACAACAAGGATCATATTCATCTTAGTAACCAGAAAATTATTACCTAAAAAATATCAGAAATTTATTAAGCATATAGAAAAACTTTTCAAAACCTGGAAAACAAAATCCTGCACATTCTTCATTTTTTTACTTTTTTCCAAGACAACAAAGTTGATATCTACAATAAGCACAATTGTTTCCTTTAGCAAAATTAGAGCTTTTTCCTTTGCTCAAAATTAAGACCAAATCATAAACAAGAAACTAAAATCTCACCTATCTCAGAAGTATTTCAAACCCACTTCAAGTGAATGACCCAATATCAAAGCTTAATAAAGACCCTTTAAAAATTGTACCTAAAATAGTTGCATGCAAAAGCTTTTTAGCTAAATCGGAGTTTTCTGAGCTTAGATAGAAGAACCCAACAGCAATACCCAAATGTTATTCACTTTGGAAAATTAATATTCAAGAAAAACATAGACAAATCTGAACAAAAATTGAAAGATCCAAAAGCTATTGAGTGTGGAGGAAGAGACTGGAGCAAAACCAAACCTGCAAGTGTTGATGTGGCGTTGAGTCTAGAAGGGTACAAGAATCGCCATTTGTGTTTTGTGTTGAAAGAGAGAGAGAAGCAGGGAGGAGTGGAATGAGAAAATGGGTCTAAGTCTTAGGAGTTTTGTAAAATGAGAGGTTTGGCGGAGGAAAACTAATAAGTGGGCCAAATATTTGGCGGGGAAAACTAAAAAGTGGGCCAAATATTTTGGAAAAAATTTGTAAGTTGTCCAAATGTTTCTAAATTTGTGACTGAATGTTCCGTCAAAAATTATTATCACGGAAAATAAATCTGTCACAAAATTATTTTTATTAGATAATTTCTCTTTTATAATATTGTGACGGAAAATATAATCTGTCACAAAATTTGTGACGGATTTTTGACAAAGTATTGCCATTTCTTCTCTTCTGCCATAATTTTGTGACAAAAATATGTTCGTCACAAAGACTAAATTTTATATCTGTCACAAATTTGTCACAAATCCGTTACTCTTAGAATTTTTTTAGGAAAAAATAAAATCTTTTGATAATTTCGTCCATGTAAGGTTGATTTGTCATAAATGCGTCACAAATCCGTCACAGTTTGTGACAGAATGCTTCGTCTCAAATATTCCGTCACAATTTTACAATTTTCTTGTAGTGTAGCTCATACACTTGTGACACGAGGTCTTGGAAGTTATGCTAGTGGACACTTGAGGATTTTTGATTATTTACTCCATCTCATTTGCTCTTGAAATTGTCTATTTGTCATTTTATTTAATTTTTCACTTCTTATTTGTTCAATAACTAAAATTCAACTATTTCTAAACAGTTAAAATAAACAATCACACGGTTAGTTCACTGCTCACTTGCCTAGCGGTAACATTAGGCGCAATCACGGCCCGTAGGAAAAATTGGATCGTGACATAATCCGTGCAATGCAATTTATGCATGCGAACAGCCGGTAATAGACCAACGCCTTAGGCCGCATCAGATTGGGATATGCAAGACATAGATTAACGATTTAACTTTATTTCCATTGATATCGTTGGAAGCAACTTGGTCTGCATCTGGATTTATAATAATTTCACACATTGCAAGTATTAGGAGATCAAGAGAAATAATAATGGTAATTATTATTATCATTATTCCTAGTCATGCCATTATTTCAACTTCTCGTAGAATAATTTCACTTCCACCAAAATTGACAATTTTTTTTTTTCAAAATGAGATCTTATTTGTTTATTAAAACGAAATATCTTGCAGTAAGAATTCTCTAATAACTGGACATGTGGAGCTTACTAAGAGAATTCTCTAATAACTGGACATGTGGAGCTTACTAAGAACACAAGTTGTTGAAGTTAATTAACTTCTTGCTGACGTAAATCGTGAAAACATATGCCATTTGGACCAGACTTGTACAAATCTATTTCATTTCGAATATGGACTCGGTGATTAACTGATTGATTCAGGATACTGCTAGTTGTAATCGTCCCACATCGAGCAGAAGCTTATGACAGCCACCTCTCGTTATTATCTATATAAGGAAGGATGTTCTTCAAATAATTTGTATCATCCTCAAGCATGTTTCAGTCCGTCTTTGACAGGTAACTCACTCTTCTACGTTTTTCGTTGTCTTTTTTTTTTTTTTGGTAGGCTAAGAAGAGAAGGAGAAGTTCCTTGCACGAATAGCTGATCTTAGGTTGTGAAGGAATGGATACTCATCCCCGTCCGAAAACTGGAGGGATTACTTGAAGTACAAAAGTTCAAACGACATATAGAAGGACACAACTAGGCAACATATAGAAGAACAAATTCTCAGCAGAAGGATCAACCCGCAACAACATATAGAAGGACAAATCCATGGCAACCTATAGAAGGACAAATCCTCAACAACATATAGAAGGATTGTAACGAGCCGCCCGGCCGTTTCATGAGTTCAGCTCTGTTTTCCCCGTTTCTATTTTCTTCTGTGTTCTTCAGCTGTGTTTTATCTTATCATGTTGGTTGATTCGGGACCGGAGTGGTCTTGGAGTGGAATGAGGCACTTAGCCTCCTATTTAGAAGCTTAAGTTGGGAAAAGTCAACTGGATATTGGCCTATATGTAGACGTTTTCATAATAGAATTCCGAGAGTTGGAGTAGCTTCGTAGGGTCATTTGTGACTTGTGTACAAAATTTGAGAATATTCGAACGAGGTTTGATTGGTTTCGGAGTCATTTGTGGAATTTATAAGATTGGAGTTCTTAGGTTTGAATCCGAGGTTTGATTCGATGTGTGGTGTTGTTTAGAGTGATTTGTAGATTCGACCAAGTTTGAATGATGTTATGGGACGGATTGGTATGTTTGGTTGAGGTTCCGAGGGCCTCGGATGTGTTTCGGATAGTTATCGGAGGAGATTTGATGTGGAAGCAATTGCTGGTGTTTCAGGGAAGGGGGTTCTGTGAAGTTGAGAACGCGGACCGCGCCAGATATTCGCGGTCAACGGTGTGTTTTCGCGGGAGCGGCAGAATTCTGCGCTCGGCGGATGAGGCTGGCGCAGACAGTGGTGAAGCATGCGGGGGCCGCTGTAATTCCGCGGTCAGCGGTGAATGGTGCGGCGGCGGTGGATTTTTGGTGGTCAGCAAATTTGGGATCCGGAGTGCACTATAAATACGAGACCCAGGGTTTTATTTTCATATTTTGAACTAGAGAGCTCGAGCTTTGGCGATTTTTCGAGGAATTTTGAAGAAAACCATCGGGCTAAGTGATTCTAACCCAATTTTGGCTAAAATACATGATTAAAACGTTAGATTCATCATTTGGGTAGAGATTTGGGATGAAAAATTGGGAAAAATTTGTGGAACTTCATAAAATGAACTTTTGAAATTTGAAAGTCGATTCGAAGTTGGAATTGAGTGAAACTAGTATGGTTAGTCTCGTAATCGAGTGGGTTGTCGGATTTTATGACTTTGGTTGGATTTGGAGACGTGGGCCCGGGGCCTGTCTTTTGAGTTGACTTTTTGACTTTTGGTCTTAAGCTTAGTAATTTCTTATTGGATTGATTCATTTAGCTCGTGTTGATTGTATCGAATTATTTATGAATAGATTCGGAGCATCCGGAGTTCGATTTGAGGGGCAAGGGCATTGCGGAGTAGATTTTAGTCCGGTTTGAGGTAAGTAACGATTGTAAATCTAGACCTGAGGGTATGAAACCCCGGAATTTCATACTATTTTGATAAATGAGGTGACACACATGCTAGGTGACGGGCGTGTGGGCACCAGTAGGGATTGTGACTTGGTCCGTCCCGTGGCAACTGTAGAGTTGCATATTTTGATAAACTCTATATGGTATCTATGTGTTTTAGAAATAAATCTGTTAACTTGGGCTTAATGCCATGTTTGTGGCCTTGTGTCGTACTGTTTAGACCCTCAGGGGTATTTTACTATTATCCTCGCATTGTTTTTGATAGAAAGCACTATCCTCAGTCATGGTTTATACCTGTTTATTGCTTAATCATGTTCATCACTCTATTTTAATATATGAAAGTGTTTTGGGCTGAGTTCCCCGAGTTTCTACTGAATTGCCCGAGTGGCTTGTGAGGTTGATGAGTGAGTGAGGCCGAGGGCCGGATTGTGAGGATAGTTAGGGATCGGGCTGCAC